ATCACTTGCTGGCCTCTCCATTCGCATAAGCAGTGTTTGCCCCAGTCATATGATATCCACGCACCGTGCCAATCATTGATGCTTAAGAACTTGTCATTAATCTTAATTAAACCTCTTACATTTTTTAATCTCGTCATGTTGTAATTGCTGCCTCTTCCATGAATCCGTGAAGTCGGAAAACCAACCAGCACAGTCGCGAATCTGTTGAGAGACTGAACCAACTATGAGATTCGTTACTCTGGCTCGTCAGAGTTGCCGGTGATGCTTGATCAGTGGAAATAATGGACGTAATGCTCGGCAAAATATTTTTAGTGTATGGCCATTTAGTCCTACTCTTTTTGATGCAGAGGTTCGTCTGCAACCACCGTATAAAATGTGAGAATAGTGATGGCAAGAGAAAAACCATAGAAAAGTATTGAAATTTCATGGTTTTTTGGCAATAGCACGAGGATATCACAAAACGTTATTTGGCCAACATTTCGACTCTTTCGCTTTCTTCGGAGCCGGATTGATCCGAGTGGAGTGTCCACAGCCGGTTATTCTTGTGAGTGTGGGTCGATTCCTATCGAGTCGGCCCACTGGAATGAAAAACCGCTTGAAAAACTTTTCTGAAAAAAAGAAAAAACAAAAAAAAAAACAGAAAAACAAAACAAAGCCTCGTCTTAGCTTGTCTGTGAAATACTACATCGATTTCAATCTTTGGTTAGGCGAAAGTCGAATTATTAAAGAAATCAGATCGTGGGGATGTCAATTCGAAGAGACGAAAGAAAGAACAAATAGCAACGAGACAACAGCATCGTGATTTTCATCTAAACTCATGCCTAGTTGACGACGGTGGTTGATGGACGGATAGATGGATGGCTTGTTTATCCATGAGGTTGTTCAGTCTCAATAACTGATATCGAGCCGACAGACCGACCAGCAATGCATCATGTCGTCCGTTCCTCGTACTACTTCGTGCATTTCTTTCTTTCTCTCCAGTCATCTGTGCTACGTTCAACAGCACTTCTACCTCGCAGTCGCCTCTCGTCCATCAGAGTGTTCTTTTCATTCGGTCCTTCCGCACTAAAATGCATTCTAGCAAGAAAACAGCGTAATCGAATTGTTCGTGGCGTAATCGATTGTTTTTCGAAGGGTCAGGTCGAGATATGACCTTTGTTTTTTCCCTGCAGATCATACAATCTCTAGGTGAACGTTGGTTTATTTTTCCCTTACTTTCAAACCGAATCTCTCGGTTTTTTAGAGGTTTGTTCTTTACGTCCTCTCGTTTATTCATACATTTTCTCACACTGAATAGAAGAGACTAGAGGACTCCACATTCCATCAATTTTTAGCATAACATTTCGATTGCGAACTTCCGGGCCATTTTAACGGGGAACCACTAGTTCATCCTTAATTTACTATACATTTCGTTTCGCACATTTAGATCAACACATTTATCGATTGAGTAAAGTTTCCTGATCAGATGTCTATTCTCCGTTACCATTGGCTGCCGTTTTCGCTCTATGTTAGATAGGGTTCTCCTCATCCTGATTTCATCCTCTCCAGACAGCTTTATAACAACTCGTATGTGTTGCCACTTCTTCGTAAATTCAGAAATTCATATCATTCGACTTTTTTGGCTTTCGAAACTTCTTGGTTTGAAGCAGAAACCCTATGACCAAGGCATATTATCCAATAAGCGGTTTAAACTCTCACACCTAGTGATTGATCTCGGCATCCATCCATCGAAGAGAGATGTCAGCCCTTCAATCACAGTTTTTTTTTCAAATTTGGTTATCTAATGCATTTATTTACACGCCTCTTTTTTGCGTAAGTAGTAGGCAACGCCCTAAGATTCAGTGTCAGTTGATTTCCACTGATAAGTGTCGGACGACGTGAATGCTATCAACTTATTTTCATCCCGGTCATATGTTCTTTCGCACAGAGGGTTTCCATTGTACTTTTTATAACTAATCCATGGTTTATCTAGCTTATTTTTTACAGAGTGTTAGTCCAGCGAAGCTATCTTATACATCTAACAATTTACAAAAAGCCATTTCTGAGAGTACTTTACTAGTCTAATTCAAACCCGGCGCTAACATTGTTGGTGCTAAAAGGGTTATTGCGTTATCTCCTACGAAAACGTGAACGAAGATATTTTCGTTATCTTGGCATGAAAACATCTTATAACCAAGGTAGGACTTTGTACCACTGAAGAAATGTGTATAGATCTGTTCTCTGTACGACAAGGACCAGGTGTTCATAGAGTTCGCGTTCATCAAAACTACACATTTCCACCCTTGTTCCCATAACATTTCATCAACCTTGTAAAACTTGAATTCAACTAAATTCCATCACTTACGTTTATTTTATTTGAACTGTTTACAGGAAGTTTCTGCAGTAATTTCAATTTATAAGCACCACAATAGACAATTTTGATCAAAGCAGAAACATTTGTCACAATGGCTACATGTGGCGTTAATCTATTTGGAATGTATGCCAGCTGATCTGGAGTGTTTAACCCTTGTTAATGCCTTATAGCAGTCGAACATCTTTATTTTCTTTTTGGAGTCTTTATGAAGATTTGCATGCGCTATATCTTAAGGATTTAAGCATAAATAAACTTGACCATTGAACCCAGCTACCGAAGTTTTTTTGACATTTTCTTTCGAAAGGCTCTCTATCAGCCCAGCAAATGTTGGAACGACTAGACGATCATCTATATCACCTGTCATTTCATTGATCATCGAATAGCTTGAGCGAGTGTTAGTAAATTTTCCTTTTGCCCCTGTTGTCTACAAAAGTAGTCCAGTGGGTCCTTCTCGCTCCAGACGCTTACTGGCACTGTACCTTTTTAAAACGGTCTTAAAAAGGATTTACTAGCATATCCATGGTTTTCCTGTTGTGAGTTTAACATCTTGAGCAATCCAATTGCCAACGGCTCTTCTCCATCGGTTTTTGTTCCGACGAATCGCGTGTCCAGCACACATGATTGTCGACATTTTGGCGTGCATAATGGTCTCTCTGATTTTTTATCATTGACGTAAATCGGTACTTTCGAGCCCCTCTGTCGCTCGCATGATTAAGGGTGCTCCCAGCATCGTCTTTTCAGCTGTTTATTCGATGACGCTGAGTGATCTTTCATTCTGTTTGCATGCAAGCTTCCGACACGTTAGGACAGGAATAATCGTGGAGTCAAAAGGATAGGCACGGAACCGGGTGCTCTTTGATCTCTTTACTACACCCTCAATGCTTTTGAGAGTTCCCCAACCTGTTGGCTTTCTCCTTCTTAACTCTGGACCCAAAAAATTTTCGTTAATTATGTGGACTTTCTGACCTAGACACACGCAGCTAGAGCATTAGGATATAATCGTTCTGTCATGCGTGAGTGAAGTATACGAAACCAATCCGTTCCTCATGCACATTGTTTTCGTGGGGTTTAGTAGAAAACCAAAGCGCTGTTAACGTCGGTCAGCATTGGTTTCATTTGGCCAATGCTTGGTCTTACAGAAACGACCTCATCAGTAAAGCGAAGATGGTATATTTGCGGACCGCAAAAGAGCCTACCATAATCGCTCGATCAAGTCGGCTCCGCTCTCTGATGTGGAAAGAATCGCGCGACTTATTATGAACGTCACCTATGTCTCTATTTGGGCACTAGTGCTCTGTCGAGGCTGTTCCATTCGGCTGAAATTAGGATTGCCCCCTACTCGGCCACTGCTTGATAACGTGCTATGGTAATCCTGTTCGATCATTATAAAAGGTTAAAAGGATAAGCGCTTGGCGTTGATCAATCGCTGAGGGATGTGCCATGCATTTGGCTTCATAATGCATTGTCACAGGTGATTGAATGCATATCTGGCTTACAGAATGACTTGCGGTGGCCTACCGATGTATCGAGCCAGTGCTGCTACCCTTCCATACAAGTCTGGTAAAAATTTGCCGACCTTGAAGGGATGGAAGGCTTGGTGAGCCTAAGACGCGGGATTCCCCACATGTGTATTGCAGGGTGACTCTAACCACTGCGCTTCAAACGTTCCGTTCAATCAATGTATGCTAATGAAATGTCTTTTCATCTGGGGCGGTCTATCGGCCAAAGAAACATTCACATACAAATTATCGGCACTTGCAGTTTTCATTCATCCAAGAAATGGTTATTGAATTCCATCACTACTGACTAAATCACACCTCCATTTCTGGCTGGGTCGCCACCGATGCGCCGTATTCCTGTTGTACTCCTATTGCACAACTTGAATACACTAAATTGTACTAAATATGTGCTAGACCAACGGAAGCTCGTAGTTTGAACTGCACAGCGATTAAGCCAGATATTCTTCATCTGATATCCACATGGTACTGCCCATCTTTTCGGCAGCCAAGCTTGCACAGAGAATCGAAAAATACGGAATTTCATCCTTAGTCCGTTAAAACCTCTTACTCTACAACGGTTTGAACTTTCGAAATCTTTTGAAATTCTCATCTATTTTAATTGTGGATATTCACGGAAAGTTTCTCAAAAAGCAGCACCGACTGTTATACGAACGAAATTCAATTTTTGACCAGATTTTAACATTATTCCAAGACATTGTAATAAATAGTGAAGATTGCATGGCATGGGCGAGCATGAAAAGATCTCATGGGCTTCGTTTATCTTAAGAAACTGGCTGTGATAGGGTTACGAAATCCTTTTGTCCTCTTGTCCACTAGTGGATAATTTTTTTTATCACACAAAGGCTGGAAATGCTCCAAGAACATAAAAACATACATAGAGAAACTTACGCGATATGTACGATATAAAAACACAAAAATTACTGACAAAGTCGCAGAAAAATCGAATTGAAGAGCGAGGAACAGCGTCACAAAAGGATGGGTCATCTGTTGGCGCAAACCGGATGATATGAGTTGATCTCAATTCACGGAGAATGTGGCGGAAATGCTTGCACAGTACAATGCGGTCGCCAAGCAAAATTAGGATTCATTGGTATTTTCCTTCTAATTCAGAAACTTCGATGTTCAAAATGACATGGTTCTTTCTATGGTGCTGTCTGGTCTCGTATTTTTCATTCGTGAATGCCGAAGACGAGATTCCTACCGGACCACCCATTCCGGTCACTGTCAGGGAGCTAAAATCGGGTGATACTCTACTATTTGTCCAAGTTGTAAGTGATCGTATCTTATAATAAATTTCAGATGTAAAGAGAAATTTGTTGTTGATGATCGCACATCTTTTTGAAAGAGCTTATTATTGTTATGAAGTTTTGTGAATGATTAATGATAACTACTTGTTGATCATTAGGCAAGTTGGTCTTCTATAGATCAGAGGTGTCAGTTTACACGCTAGCTTATGCGATGTCGATGCTAATTGACATAATAAAGTCCATTTAACTTAGTAGAAGAAGTCACAAATCATTCAGAATTCAGTTATACCATGTATGGCGATAGGGTGGTGTGAAAATATGAAAGAAAGAATAACATTTCCCAGAATAAAGTTTCTTTTAATTCTTCCTACATAGACAAAGAAGCGCAACTCATTTTGTTGAGGTTTGGCGGCATGGCGATCGAGCACCGACAATGACCTATCCAACTGACGTTTATCAAGAAGATGCCTGGCCAAATGGATGGGGAGAACTTACACAGGTAGAATGTCTGTCTCAGTATCGAGCTTTTTCGTATTGTTTAAAAGAAGTAAGTGGATGACGAGAAAGGAGCTTGTGCTTACGATACGTAATTGTAGATGGGAATGCGTCAACAATACGCACTAGGACAGGTCCTACGAAGGAGATATATCGACATAGACGAACCGTTCATTAGCCACCGATACAACTCAAAGCAGGTACATTATACTGTTTAATAGAGGTCATACTCTCTTAGCTTGAGCAAAGGGTTCTTAAGGTGACGGAGAGCACAGTGGTAGTGACACCGATCAACACGTGCACGATGCTGGTTCGATCCCGCCCCCGGCTCACCAATCCTCTCATCCCTTCGGGGTTGCGAAATTCGTGCCCTACTTGTCGGGAAAAAATCACTCTATGTAATCCAATTTGGAACGCTCTCGCCCACCTATCCCAGGACTCGAGAGAGAATTGCCTTGACCAGCATTCTACAACATGAAGTAAAAATCCGCAGCAGCAGCCGAAGCGACGCGTAATAAAGTTGAAAGGCCTTCGTGGATGATCGATTCGAGGAAACGAAACGAATGTGGGAAGTGCTGGCATCCGCACGGTAGACGTGAGGACGGGTCATATAAAATATAATTTAAAAAGGGAATCTTAGTGAATGTCTTGGAAGGAACACGTTCCCAAAATCTTTTCCTAGGTTTATTTTCGATCGACAGACGTGAATCGGACATTGGTTTCGGCGTACGCCAATATTGCGGGAATGTTCACAAGCGGTGAGCCAGGGAAGGACTATCCCGCGCAGGAAAGGTTAGTGCCTACTCAAATCTAAACCATTCAGTTCAGAAAACTTACTTAGTAATGACTAACTATTATCTTCAAATGTATCCCACCGCCTGCATTTGTGATCATCCGGCCCATTGCTTAGGAAAAACACATTGAATATTTGCAAACATTACTGGACTATTGTGCGTTCATCAACAGAGTGTGATTTTTACAAACAAACCAGTAATAATCTTCTACGGATGGATAGAGTCTTCTTGTTCAGATATAACCAGTTTTCCAGAGAAATCAATAATTGTTTTGGTTATTTTTATTTTGCTTGCTTTTCTGTTTATTTTTCAAAACAATCGTTATTTAACCTCGGTGGTAATAATCAATACCTTCTTGGATTGTTGAGCTAACACGAAGCCGATAAAGATGTTTATTCGACTTCGGCTTTGATGAAGACGAGGACGCCGAAACGTTAGTCGAATGAACATCTTTATCAGTGATTAATTTTCTTACTTTTATAGCATCCTCATGGGATTTGAAGAAAATGTAATGTTTATCAAAATGCTTTTTATCAGAGCAAAAGGCAACTATTAGGTTTTGTTTATTGTTTCTTTGTTCTCTCCTCTCACCACAAATCCACTTCTTGTGGAATTACACTTAACACTTAGACTGAACATCTGTATTACCACAGTTCACTGGATTTGTGTTGATTTTCAGTTGGCCCACTGGTTGGACTCCTGTACCGGTGCATACAATACCTCTAGAGGAAGACTACGTGAGTACCAGAAAACTGGCTTGTACAACAACTGAACAAAGAATTCGTCTAGGTTGGCAACGTTTTCGCTCCTTGTCCACGTGCCGAGCAATTAGATAACCAGCTGCGGAATAGCGTTGAATTTCAAGCGATCAAGAAGAGCAATGAGGTAAGCAGTTTTCTTAACCTAGCAGCAATTTCTGCACTGAAGCTCTACCAGTGAACATCACCATTTTCCTGACCGATACCTGTCGACGAAATACTTTTCCAAACTTTCGCCAATTTTTGTAAATCCCGATTGGAAATGCTGAGTCTGTTTCAGGAGTTTCTGCAATTTCTCAGCGAAAAGACTGGAATGAAAGTCGACCTGACGAATCTCTACCTTATCAACGACGTTCACTACATTGAGGTAATAAGCAAATTTTCGGCTTTCTGGTTTTTTTTTTGTCGTCGTTGTAACAGCCGCTGAAACTAAGCAATTTAACAAGGTGGGGTTCAAAATTATAGCAGTTTCACTTGTTAACTTGTAAAAATTCCGGAACGATCTTGCGAATCTACATGGACTAAGTTGGTGAAAGACTAGCTAAGCTCCGATAACCGAGCTGACCTTTTGCGGTAATGCTGGCGATGTCGTCCTCAACCAATAGAAGACTTGTCTCGATACAAAATTATTATTTTGAGGAGGACCACTACTTAGTAAATTGTCATGTCTTAGGCCGATGAGCAATTTTTTATTTTAAACCCATCTGAGCGTTTGTAGCGCAGTGATTAGAGGTGCCCTGCAATACACATTTGGTCGCGGGTTTAAAATGGGGCAACACGATGTCTTCCATCTAACCCAAATTGCTAAACTGGTGCCGGATCGGTCTAGGAGGATGGTAGAACTAACTTGATGCGTTGGTTGGCCACCGTAAGCCATTGTGTATGCCAGATATGCATCAATTACTTTCAACGAGCTTGATGAGGTTAGGTGCATAGTGCGTTCCTCAGGAATTGATCAAAGCCTATCGCCTTGTCGTTTTTATCCTTTACCATCCATTTTCTAATTCTTTGAGAGCCACAGCACGTTTTTTCAGTCAGTACATTGTCGTGTATCATTCATCGTTCACAAAAGTGTTAAGATTTCTTGAATGCTGGTTAGTCAATTTTACCTGAAGGCCATAAACAGTCTTTCTAATACGTGTCTGGGTGCAAGCAGTTTGCCGGTTGCACGCGATCTCCACTTTTTGTTTATCACAGGAATCCTTTTTCAATGACTCTCGAAGAAATTTGCCAACCCTAAGGAGATGGGCAGCTTGGTCGGCCCTGCACCAGGTCGAACTATGTTTCTTGCAGGTCCCCTGTAACCATCACGCTACCTACACCATGAAACCAATTGCATACCCACCTACATATAATTTTATTTGCATAAGGTTTTTTGGTGCTCATTTCGCTATAATGCCTTTTTGGTCTGCATGTTTTTGAGTCCTTTCAAAGCAAAACATGCATTTTCAGGAGGTTTCTTCTCAAATCAATTCATTTCAAGTTAGTGATGTTTGTGAATTCACTGAGTACGTCGTTCTATTGCAGACGATATACAACATGACCCAACCGGATTGGTTGACTCCAGAAGTGTCAGAGCGACTGCGCAATCTGACCCTAGTAGTTAACGAGTACACTTATGGCATCGCCAAGCCCTATTTACCCGAGCTGATTCGTCTGAGAGGAGGTATTATATTAATCCAGAGTGCTGTAATTTCCAATTTCTAATCTTTGACCTTCTCATATTCTCCGTCAATAAAGACAGATGTTTTGGTAGCCTAGAAGGCGTGTCGTGAAGTGGGAAGTTTGCAGAATTTGAAAACTTGAAAATTTTGATAAAATAGAAATTATAAGTGCTAGATTTTATACCTTTTTAATCGCGAAACATTTTCGTCTCCTAGCCTGTACCTAATTATTAAAGATAATACATTCCACTTATAGGATGTCCTTGAAAGGAAATGTCCAGCTTATCATAACGGCAACGCTTGTATAGTAAAAAGAAACATCAATTGTCGGAGTGAAAAATTGTGAACTTTTGGCTTATTTTAGGTAAACGAGGAAAATTACATGACAGGGCTCTTTTGGATCCAATTAAGACCCAAAATTTCCCAATTATAAGCTCAGTGTTTTAAGAACAACTTATTGATTCAGGATCGATGCTTCGTTCAATTGTGGATCTGATAGGTCAGAAATTATATTGTCATCGATATGTCAACGAACGTGATGAATGTGATTGGATTCGCCCGCTCAAGTACTACGCTTACTCAGCGGTAAGTGCACATTTTCACTTCTGGATGACCATCTGTTGTGAAAATACCTGTGCTCCAAGGAAAGAACATCGTGTAGTTAAGGAAAAATTGCTCACACTCTTTTACGTGACCAAACTTACTCGCTTCGAAATTATATGAATTGAGTCATTGTTGTGCGGTCTGCTGTTAGAATCGAATACGCTATTACTCTTTCCGGGGCTGACGTGTCCACCACCACACCATGGGGGTCATTCGTTTCTACTTTCTCTCAGCGAGGCTTCTATCTACTACTACCATCAACAATAACCCGGATGTTTGATCCACGCCATAGACACCTGCGGTCTGGCGTTTTCCAAATATCTCAGCAGAATTGTGGTCGTATTTCACATAATAACCTACCGTGAAAAGCTGTAATAGGCTAGTAGGCACGTAATGAAAAAGTAACTTACTTACTTGATGCTTTGCTTGATTGGCGAGTCCTAACTGGTTGTGTGGACCCTAGCATAATCTCCATTTTTCGGAGATTTGCCGTTAAGCTATAGCTGTGGTTTCCTGGAACCCTGAGGTCAACCTGGCCATGGCCTGCCCCAGGTCTTCACCACCACAGGCAGTCGCAGCCCTTGTGGATCAGAGGCAGACTTGCCACCATGCGACTTTGATACGAGGACGATGGTGGATCCTGGTATTAGTTTACTTTTAGCTAAGCCAGCTGTCGCTTTTTGTCGATTTTAATAAAGGATGGCTGAATAGCGCAGTGCCAGTGATGCCGATCATCACGAGCACGGTACTAGTTCGATCCTGCAATTCGGCGTCACAAAAACTCTACCTCTCCGGGGTCGGAAATTTGCCACCGGATTTGTTTCAGAGAATAGAAGCATTGATTTGATAGATCGGTAGGCCGCCGCAACTCCGACCGATCTATCAACTCAATACTTTGTATGATCTAGATATGCATTCAGTCAAGTCTAATGATGCTTAATGAGGTGGAGTGCTTGGAGCCCCCAGAGTTCAATTAACACTGAGCTCTTTGTCTCTTCTTGTTTATTAAAGTAATATAACCCGAGTTATCTCTAACACTGATCATATCTAGTAATTAAACCGTATGATGAGCACTATGTTGTACCTCGGGGCGCATGTAGCGCAGTGGTTAGAGGCGCCCTGCAATACACATTGATCCGACTTCACGCACCAGGCTCACCAAGCATTCCATCCCTCCGGGATCGACAAATTGGTACCAGACTTGTCTGGGAGGATAGCAGCACTTGCTCGATACATCGGTAGGCCACCGCGAGTCATCGTAAAGGCCAGTTACGTATTCAGTCACCTCTAGCGGTGGTTGACGAAGTCGAACGCATGGCGCATCCCGAAGGAATTGATCAACGCCGTAAGCCTTATCGTTTATTTAATCTGTATTCTGTAGTTTCGTTCTCATCCTTCGGTTACGTTTCTGCAGTCTTTTCGATCGGGACCATGAGAGATTCATCTTTCCAATGGGGGATTTGACCAAGAATTGTTTTCAACTTCTCATTTTCTTACAGGATTGGAATCTATGAAATTCATGTTTTGATCAGAAACTGATTATTGTTGCTTTTCCGGTCGGCGTAATGAATTTATGGTAGGAACAAATATCAAAATGCTTAAAAACGTTAAAATATAGTGCACGTTTTTTGCAAAACTGGTAACAAAAAGCTGCCAGAACTATGTAGGATTCCCAAAACCGACTTTGTATTAACCCGGGCGTTAATTGATATCTGCCAAGGTTATGAAAGTGTTTGGCCGAGTAGATAGCGTGTTAACTTGGCCCTTCCAGGCATTGATGAAGGCGAAACCGCCGAAATGTCGGCTATTGTATGCTAATAATTCCTATAATATCAACCTCGTGTTTGCTTATTGAAGAAAAACAGTGAATTATGATGGGAATATGGACCAGTTTTTCCCCGACACAACTAGTATGGAAATGTTCGAAAAACTCTGGGAGAATACGTTGACTAATTTAGAGGGTTCATAAAAAGCATAAGACGTAGACATTACTGATGAAAGTGCTTAGGATGTCGAATTATATCTCGAAAACTTGAAAAGAACGAGTGGGGTGACTTTTTGAGCAGAGATCTTCCGCACCGTCTGCATTAAGTTCAATGCATGAAGAGCGGCGAAGAGTTGTTTGTCCTAGCGGATGTGTTAATAATTGATTGATTGATTGTCGATCCAGAAAAATATTTTGTGCTCATTCCCAGATTTCTGCCACTTATTACTGCGTTTACACTTTGAATGGCTGAGAAGTTTCAATCGATGCTATATAATATAGTTCATTACAGCACGATACAACGGTGGCAGCTTTGTTGACGACCTTCGGTGATGAAGAAGCGGTGATTCGTGGTGGGTTGCCTAAGTACACGGCTTCGGTGGCCGTCGAGCTTTGGATGCTAGAGGAGGGGCCAGCTGTCAGGGTGAGAAATGATCTCGAATAGACGTCGAGCTTTCTGTTTATATTAAGTTTGAGATTGCAGTCCAGGTATTTTCAAATGAATATATTTACTTCAAATAAGTTAAGCATTGTTTTCACGTGTCTGTATAGACGGAAGTTTTTCCAGTCTAGAGATCCATCCGTTCCAGATACTTTTCCATGGAGCTTTTCATCACAATTACCATACAATCACTCATCTTACTAAGGGTTGTCCTGAAGACAACGAATTCTGTCCTTTAAAGGTTAGTTTTGATCCTATCGTTTCGTTAGCGTCAACATCATTCTATTTCCTTCAAAATTTTTTAAGAGGATTGATTTTAATGATTTTAAAATTTCTTTTTGCACTCTTTCCAACCGAATAAAATGATAGAAAGTTGTGAACAATGAGTACCGACTTTAACTTAGGATTTTCTCGTTCTCTTCGGTCACCACTTTTTTTCGCCAGGTGTTCGAGAGGCGCAGTTATAAGTTCATGCCGGTCAACATTAGTGAAGAGTGTCGATTAAGGAACAAGAAAGCACATCAGATAAGCAGAAGCCGAAAAATGAAGTGGCGGCTCGAATAGTGCAATTGGGCACTGTCTGCCGACCTGCCTCTCATCACAAAAGCGGCTTTTTTTATCAAACTGGTGCCAGTTTTGTTTTTTCTTATTTATAAGAGTACATGAAGATATTAACGCTCTCAGTTGTTGACAGTAGTATGAAAGCAATGCGACATACCATGAAAGAGAGTTTAAAACTGAAGTACGATGTTGTTAAAATACATGTTGCTTTTCTGAAAACTTGCAAAGTTGCTTGAACTGACTAAAGAAATGTCTAAAAATAGTGAAGAAGGATGACAGGAAAGGAAAACTTGTAGAACAGCTCATACCAATTAGTTCTTTGTTGCTTTTCCCTCGCTATGAGAATGAAAAGTATTGGTGAGGCGAGCCATTTTGGTACACAGCCCAGCGTTTAATTTCGTGTGCAAGTAGCAACCAAACATAAAGGTCTATTTATATTTCTATACATTATTGTGATGGCACTTGTCGCGCAGTGGTCATAGGTGTCCTGCATTACACATGTGGTTTTGGTTTGACCGCGCGCTCCGAGTCGTCAAGCTTTCCATCTGTACAGGGTCAAAAAAATCAGTACCATCTGGAAGGATAGCAGCACTAGATTATTATATCGGTGAGCCACCGCAAGTCACTGTATAGATCAAATATGTACTCATTCGCCTCGAACGGTCTACAATAAAGGAGCATCTATCAGCGATTGACCAACGCCGAAACCGGAAATATAGATTATTGTTTTGTTTAATCTACTTCCTTGAAAACTTTAACGGTACGGTGTCTCTTCCACGGCGAATCATGCGGTGCGCACCAGTTTCCTTCTAGAATTGTACTTTATTGGTTGGGCAAGGTTTTCTTTCTTAGTTTTTAGATAAATCCACACCACAGCGTTCACAGGTCATTGGAACCAACTGTATGGGAGTGAGGTCCACGGGTAAGTTCCACAGATGACGTCGAGATTCCTGGCGTTCATTCACTTATATTTGCCATCATGGAGATGGAAATCTGAGATCAAATAGAATCATCTACAAGTAATTGCTGAACGCGGCTCCGAAGTGTGCCTAGAATATGTTAAGGACAACTGACACTAAGTGCGGGGCTAAAATCTTCAGGAATGGGGCAAAATCCTAAGTAGGAAGAGGGGCAGTCTTTTTCCAATTATTTTTTGAGTCTTGATATAAGTCTGGAACTTTAAAAAATGACGGCAGAATTTCAAACACTTGTGTTTTTTTAGGATCAATATGTATCTCCAGCCTTAGAATCATTCTGAAATACAAATTAGTAGGCCCTATGGTTGGAGGCGCCACTGCCACACACACGTGGAATCGATCCTCACGCCCATGACTAACCAAGCCTACCATCCCTCCGTGGTTGGCAAATTAGAGTTGTCTGGGAGGATAGTAGCACTGGCTCAAGACATCGATAGGCCACCGCGAGTCATTGTAAAGCCCAGATATGCATTCAATGACCTCCAACGATGCTTAGTGAAGTCGAATACATGGCGCATCCATCAGAGATTGATAAACGTCGGGAGCTTCACCTTTTAGCCTTCTATCGCAAAGGCAAAAAGGTTAATCCGCTGTGATTCAAAAAAGATGGATTCTGGAAATGTTCTCCAATGCATGAGTAGCAAGGTAGGTAGGTTATGATCCTGTGATTAAGTTGATCCCCAGACAAGTCTGCTATCAATTTCCCAGCCCTGGAGGGATGAGAGGTTTGGGTGGACCAGAGCGCAATCGAACGAGCAGTATGCTTGTGGTGACGGACATCACTACCACTGTACTATCCGCACCTAACAACTGTGATAGCGCTGATAATTTTTTTTTACCTTTTTGCAACCACCGTTCGTTTTTCTGATCACATTTTTCGTGGAACCCTATTGTACGGAGCTTTAATGGATTCTCCTCAACGGCTTGCACTGTTTTTAAGTAATGAATAGCATGAATGATCTGCTGGAAGAATTTGGACTCCCAAGTGGGCAGATTTCTTCTGAGTAGTTGTCAGCTGCACTGAGCACAACAATTCAAGAATGTCCGAGTATGGCGGCTGAAGTAATAGAAGGAAGGAGGATCGCATTAAGAAAAGCGCAAAGCGAGTATTTAATGAGTACTCAGCTACCGTTTGATGTTTCACTCCTGAAAGAAAAATGGACTCGAGGTATAGTGGTCTTTTCCGTTGTAAAAGAAAAACAGCAGGTAAAATTTAAATGCGAACTTCGCTGCCACAAAAGTTGAAGAAAATTACTCAGTACAAAAATTTTTGTCCATGGAGCTAAAACTAAGAAAAACTGATGGACCTCGAAATTACACATTGCTTCTGCTTTGCATTTTCGCAGAAAGGTGCCGAAATGGTTGGTTGACGAAGTCGAAATGAAATCACCGATTTTTCGCATGAAATCTCTGCATAACAAGGTGAGAGTCTATTATTTTCTAAGCAGATCCAGCAACTGCACCGATATAAGACAAATTGCAGACTTTTTTTCTGAAAAATTACAGTGCTCAAACGCTGTCGACGCATCAAGACCAGTTATGGGCTGGAGAAAAGGTCCTCTGGGAAAAAGTTCTCCTGCTCAACAGAAAACCTCCTTATTTTCGTGTCTTCTTTTTCTAAATGTTCTGTTTAGTTCAATTTACATGTTTCTTCAGAGAATACCACTTTTCGCATATTTACACGCTTATTAACGACTTAGTGAAATTTTAAGGGTCTTCCTTCTTTTGTTTCTCGTGAGATTCTTCAAAGAGTATTTCTTGATAATGGATACGAAAGCAAACTGTGCTAGAGTGCTAGAAGTGACAAGGTGATGAGATGTCCCCGGGCTCTTGCGAGCATAGGTCTTTTTTCAGTTCACTTAATTCGCGGATTTGGAAAGCGCAGAGCCAAAGAGCCGCGTACCAGCAGCTCGGAAATAATCCTTCAAATGTCTTTTTCTGCTTTCTGGGGTATCGAGCTTCTATATTAATCTAAGTAAGTATTTTTAAGATGGGTAGAAGTTGAAGAGCAAAAAAAGGAAAAAAGTGTAATAAATTTTTTCAATTTTCACCGTGAAAAACTTTAAAACCGGGACACGGAGTTTCGCAAAACTTTTTGAGAATTTCAATGATTCTGAGATGTTTGCAAAACTCCGGACCGCAG